GTTTCCTATGAATCTGACAATTGGTTAATAAAGACTAAAGAGTCTGTTTCTTTGAATTGTTGTATTCATAAAGAGTATTGAATATTCCTTGTACTGCACAAAGAACAAACATTTGACAGAGATGCAGCTGGAGTTCTAAGAGGTAAGGATGGTGGAACTTTGTCTCACTTATGTTGGGTATATTTTCAGAAGGAAGTATCCTTAGAGTAAAACATTATACTGGAAGTTGGAGTGTCAGAGAAATAAGAGGAGACCCTCAACAAGATGGATTGACACAATGACTTTTCCAATGAACGTAAGTATGTATGACAGGTGGTGAGGCTACGACAAGGTTCAGATCCATTGTTCTTAAGGTTACTGAGTCTATGGAATCTTACAACAGCAACAAGTGACTTCCACTGTAGATTTTCTGCAAGCAACTTTAATACATATCTGTTAATGTGTAAGCAAATGGATTCCTCACCCCCCCCCCCCAGTAAATGATCCATTAATTGTTTTTAGCATTGTGGGGAAAGAAGATGGGTTTGGTTTTTGTTTGTTTTATTCTTTCTTTTGGTGGTTTAAACCACATTCATTAATGCTAATTCAGGTTTGTTCATGTCTTTGGCTTCATTCTAGACTCACATTTCAAATCTGCATGTATTGCTTGCATTTTCCTGGTATTTAAATAACAGTTCCTTGTTCTTGGAATGCAGCATAACTCCCAAAATTATCATGAGACTTGTGATGATACATCATAAGTCAGTTATAAAATTTGTTAGCTTTTCTCATTCATCTGCTTGTGTGTGTGTCTGTGTGTGTGTATGAGAGATACCAGCTGGCCATGTAAGACTTAAAAAAAAATTCATAAAAGCAGACCACCCTTTTCTGCATGCTTTAGTCTATGTTCAACGTAAACCTTATAATTACACATGAATGATATTTAGGGATCTTCCCCCCCCCTAAGTTTTCAGAGTGGTGAGTGGTGGATGTTTGCCTTTTTAAAAATATTTGCCTACTGCACTGTTTTAGTAGTTGAAAGGTTAATATGGTTATTGTGTACTGTCGAGTTGTAACTGACCAATAGCTAACCCTGCAGCAAGTTTTCAGAGGCAGGATGATCACATGAGAGAAGATAGCCCATCATTCTACACAGAGCAGCTGGTAGATTTTAACCACATGCCTTTGGTTGGTAGTGCAGCTCCTTACCACAAAGCCACCAATTCTTGTCACTGGATTGAGACAACATCATGACAGATGGAAAAAAGACTTGCTGACACTGTCAACGACTTCTTCTTTCATGGATCCATCCATAGTCGTCAACACCCTTGGTACCAGCAGTCTGGAGATTAGAAGGTATATTGCACTGGGAAAGTTGGTAGTCAGGGACCACTGCAAATTATTGAGCAGAAATGATATCTGTTTGAGGACTAAGGTGTGCCCTATTGAGACCATAATTTTTTAATAACTTGCTGTGCATTTGAGAGTTGGACAATGCATAAGAAGACTAATGGATGCCTTTAAGATGTGGTGTTGGAGTACTGAATAGCCCATAAACTGCCAAAACAACAGATATGTCTTGGAGAGAAAGTACAGCCAGAGTGCTGCTCTGAGGCAAAGATGATAAAGCTTCATCTCACATACTTAGGACATGTTGCTAGTAGAGGCTGTTCCTTGGAGAAAAACATAGTGTTTGGAATGGTGGAGGGTCAGCAAAAGAGAGGAAGACACTCAACTAGATGATTACAATGGGCTTAAATGTTTCAGAGATGGTGAGAATGGCACAGAGTAAGACATGGTTCAGATCTGTTATTCGTAGGATCACTATGAGTCATACTTGATTCAATGACACCTAAAAACAACAGGATAAAGGTGCACTGGTGAAGAAAAGGTACTGCCAATAGAAAGTAATTTTAACTCTATGGACTCTATGAAGATGACACAACCTTCCTTGCTGAAAGTGAGGAGAATTTGAAGCACTTGTTGCAGGAGATCAAGGAATACAGGCTTCAGTATGGATTGTGTCTAAATATCAAGAGAACAAAGATTTTTACCACTGGACTAATAGGCCATTTCATGGTGGATGGCGAGGAGACTGAAACTGTCAACATTCCATGGACTTCCAAGAAAACAAATAGATATGTCTTGGCGAGGGTGAAGCCAGAATGCTCTTTTGGAAGTAAGAATGATGAGGCTTTGCCTAACTTACTTTGGATATTGCTAGGAGGCGCTATTCCTTGGAGAGGGACATGATGTTGGGAAGGTGGAGGATTGACAAAAGAGAGGAAGACCCTCAACCAGGTGGATTGACAAAGTGAATGCTGCAATGGGCTCTTGTGTGTCAGGAAGTGTGAGGATGGCACAGGATAGGACTGGTTTCAGATCTTTTGTTCATGGGCTTGCTATGAGTTGTACTCAACTTGATGGCACCTAACAATGACAACAACATCTTCCAGACTCATCCTTGTTGTGTAGTGTTTTAGTTCACTGTTTTTCAGTTCCATTGCGTGAATGTACCACCATTTTTCTATCCATTCATTCATTGATGGTCACTTGGGCTGCTTCCATCTCTTTGCAATTGTGAATGCTTCAATAAACATGGATATGCATACATTGTCAGTAAATATAGGTGTTCATACATATGTTTCTGTCATGGCTTTGATTTCTTTAGTTTGTATCCCCAATAGTACAATGTTGTTGCTGTTATGTGACATCGAGTCACCTGCAACTCATAGCATCCTCTGTACAGAAGCTCTGAACCATTCCCTATCCTGAGTCAGTCTCACTGATTCCCACACACCTTTCTCCATTGTCGCCGTTACTGTATCCATCCATCACATCCAGGTCTTCCTCCCCTGTGCTGTCCCTCCACCTTTCCAAGCATGATGTCCTTCTCCAAGGACTGGTCACTCCTGGCCACGTGCCCAAAGTATATCAGATGGAGCTTCAAACTCTCAGCCTCCAAGGAGAAACTTGGTTTCACCCTCTCCATGGCAGACCTATTTGTTTTTTATGGTGGTCCATATTATGTTCAAGACTCCTCTCCAGCACCAGAACTCAAAGGCATTTGTTTTTCTTCTGTCATCCTTAGTCATTGTCTAGATCTCTGATGCATAGCAAGTAATTGCACAACCATGGCCTGGATCAGGTGCACCTTAGTCTGTAGACTGACATCGTTGCTTTTCAGTACTCTGGCAAGGTGCCTGACAGCAGATTTTTCCAATGCAATTCATCCTTTGACTTCCTGACTGCTGGTGTTAAGAGAGTTGATTGTGGAGCCGAGCAAGCTATAATTGTTAACAACCTCAACCTCTTCTCCATCTATCATGGTGCTGCCAATCGGACCAGTGGTAGAATCTTTGTCTTCTTTTTTTTT